GAAACCCTTTAAGAACTTTTGTGAAATAGTACCATGAACATATGGAGTAGATTTGCAAGTCGAAACACACTGTGGCTTCAGGATTAAGATGAAAATTATTGACTTTTACCCACCCTGGAAAGTTTGACAGGAGTTCAACACATTTGACCCTTCACAAACCTGAATGAGTTTGCCAACACTGAGGAGCCAGGAAATCTTAGATGAAGAAATATATCTACTTCCAGGCCTTAAGAATCCATCTGATTTGAAGTCCGGGGTTGCATGCACAGTTGACCTGTTGTGAGAGTGACTGTGGACACTTCTTAGTAATGTACCCATGTTTTCCTCTCTCTTGCTCTTCCACCTACATTTTTGGTAGCATTTTTTAGAGATTAAGTCACTAGGTCTAGCAAAGCATTTTCTTCAGCATTACTTTTTTTAGCTCATTCCCCAAATTATGCTGAAGTTGGATAAGGTTCAGTTGCTTCTGAGAGACTGTTGTTTGACTTTTGGATTCCATTCACATGACTTTATCCTTCATAACTCATAGATGATCATTAATAATAAATGCTGTCAAGGGTATGTTATGTGAAAAGTAATATTAACAAGCCAAACTTCTAAGGCAAGACCTATTAGTTGTAGTAAAACATCAAAGTTACAAGGAAACTTATTGCCTCTCTAAATTATGCTCCTGAGTGTCTTTCCCAATATTTCTTATGTGCCGTCTCATCTTAGTGCAAGTTGTATAATAGAATTACAGATGCAGAAATGTCAGAACTGAGAGTTCTTTGGTCCAGCCTTCCAACTCTACAAGTAGGCGACTTATGAAAATATTTTCTATGAGAAGAGATTTTTGAAAACATACATATTGCACTAGAGATATCCAAATTGTGTTAATATCTAATAGGATACTTGAGCCAAGGCCAAACTTAAGATTGAGAAACTGGATGCTTATGTGCCCAGTAAGTGCAAAGTTGGGCAACCGAGACGAGTGTGACTTAATGGAACACATTTTGGATTTCAACAAATTGAAAAGCAACTCTCAGTTTCACTGATTTTGTGACGTACCTACTTAACTGTACAAAACCTTTGCACCTCTATCTTATACATGATATATTAAGTATATCTACCAGCAGGAATGCTGTAGTTGTTACAATAAATATGAGTATGCAAAGTGACTAAGACAAGTTGTGCATCTGCTATAAATAAGTATGAACACTCATCATCCCAAAAATATATTATAAATCTGAATCACCAGTCTCCAAACACCTATGCTCTTTGAGGGACAGAAAATAATTCTAAATGCCTTACTGCTAGTCTAGAATTGTAGGCCAACCATAAGGAATTTGAATGACTGAAGGTCTTAGTTTGCTCAGTGTAACAAGATGACATTAGTCAACACTGATCAGTCCAGGCCAAGAAGTGGTAGAGTATAATGGTAAATGATGAAAACGCTAGTGTTAGAGGAACTTGATTTGCATCTGGAGGTCGACATTTACTATTGGTGTAACTTTCTATAATCATTCAATCATTCAAAGCCTCGGTGTCCACATCTGTAAGCTAATGATAATAGTAATATGCTTCTGAATCATTGACAGGATATGAGAAGCAGTTCATGCAAAATGATGTGAAATGCTTAGCCCCATGTTGGATACTCAATAAGAGCTCTCTAAACTGTAACTTTACACAATACATACACACACAACATAAAATTGTGGTGAAGCACACATAATATAAAATTTATACCAGTTTTTAAGTGTATAGATCATTGGTGCTAAGTACATTCACACTGTGCCATGACCATCTGTCTCCAGGATTCTTTTCATCCTGCAAAACTGAAACTTTGATCCCATTAAACAGCAACTCTCCATTCTCTGCCTTGTTAGTCCCTGGAGACTATCATTGTGCTTTCTATCTCTCTGAATTTGACTGTTCTCGTTATTTCAGGTAAATGCAATCATACAGTATTTGTCTTCATGACTGGTTTATTTCATTCAAAATAATGTCCTCAAAGTTCTTTCATGTTCCTTCATTTTTAGGGCTGAATATTCCCTTGTACATGCATATCACCTTTTCTCTATCCATTCATCTGCTGATGGATACTTAGGTTGCTCCCAATGATTGACTTTTGTGCATAATGCTGCTATGGACACAAATGTATAAATATATCTTCAAGATTCTGCTTTTAATTCTTTTGGCTATGTATCTATATGTCAGATTTCTGGGTTCATATGTGGTGATTCTACTTTTAATTTTCTTGAGGAACTGTGTATTGTTTTCCACAGTGGTTGCACCAGTTACACTCCCAGCAACAATGCACAAGGGCTCCAGTTTCTCCACATCTTCACCAGCACTCATTTTTTTTTAGTAAAGATTTTGTTTTGAAAGCTGGGAGTGAAAAAGACAGGAGGGAGGGAGAGAGAGAGAGAGAGAGAGAAAGAGAGCAGTCTTCCATTTACTGGTTCATTCCTCAAATGACTGCAATGGCCAGTGCTGTGCCAGGCTGAAGTTAGGAGCCAGGAACTCCATCTGGGTCTCCTACCTGGTGGCATGGGCATAAACACTTGTGCCATCTTCTGCTGCTTTCTCAGGTGCAGGGACAGAAGCAGACAGCTGAGACTTAAACCAGCACTCTGATATAGGGTGTTGGTGTTGCAAGATATGCCACAAGATATGCTCCAGTTTTTTAAAATAGTAGCATCCTAATAGGTGTGAGGTTGTTAAATATATTTTAATGCCAACTTTGTTATTTTATTATCTGTATGATTGTTTTTGTGGGCTGTGGCTTAAGATTCCTGCTACTCCCAACAAGATCCTGGGAGTAGTTCTATCCCTGAGTAAAACTCATATGTATCAGGCTTTAGCACTGAGGCTGGGGACTTCTTGAGTAAGTGTGTATCTATGGAGTGAAGTTAGCTGGGGCATGTAAAGGATGGGGAAGATGAGGTGGGCTTCAGTCACACGAGGAAGTAAGTAAATATCTCTTGCTTCACTTGTGCACACTGTATGTATTTATAGATTAATCAATATTTTTGAGAGTTGTGGGTTGTGGGAATTTTGGCTTTGGAGGTGTGTGTCTGAGTCTGGCTTTGCTACAAGGATTTGGGATGCTAGTGATGGTAAAGTTGTTTCTCTTGGATTGCTATGAAATCCAGCTGGAGACATCCAGGACAGCAAACATACTACTTTTTTTTTTTTTTTTTTTTTTTTTTAATTTGAAAACCAGGTGGTGAAGGCAAGGGGGAGGAAGGGAGAGAGAGAAATCTGTCTGCTGGTTCACTCCCCAAAAGGCTGCAGTTGTCAGGGCTGGGCCAGCTGAAACCAGGATCCTGGAGCTTAGAACTCCATCTGAGTCTCCCACAGCGGTGGCAGGGCCCAAGCACTTGTTCCACCCTCTGCTGCTTTCCCAGGTGCATTAGCAGGGAGCTGGATAGGAGGTGGAATAGCAGGCACTTGAACAGAGCCGGCATCTCAGGTGGCAGTTTAACCCACTTTACCACACAACACCAGCCCTAAACCTATTATTCTGAAGTCCATAGTGGCTGAGATTGGGTTTAGAAGGCATCATTGAGCCTCTACCTACTGTCCAGGAAGGAGCAACGTGTCAGTCCCCAAAATGATCACTGTGAGTGATCCCAGGAATCCTTTAATTATGGGAAAAAAATCACTCGATGAAGAAAAACCAGTCTTCATTCTACCCTAGATAAATAAGGTGAGACTTCACAGCCTGAACGCTTAACAATGTGATCCTGTGTGGATGGAGCTACTGATGGTGCACAAAGTATTGACAATATCTGTCTGTGGATAACTCTCGGGGTCTTCATGTTCATCCAGAGCTGAGGTCTTCGGAAAACTGAAGCATTGAAAGTGAGGGATTGACTTTCCCTTTGGTTTGTTGTTATCACTCATTGTGCTTGTGTAAACATTAGGGAGCCCCTGGGTACTAGACTCAGAAACAACAGGCTAGGCTTTACAAACTGTGCCAGCCTAGAAATATGACTCCTTTGGTTATAGTTGACTGATTTGCATCTGAATTAGTAATTACCTAGGACCTTAGTCGCAGTTTTATTTTGTGGGTGAATTGGTGTGTTCTTGTGTTTCTTAAAACTTTGCACTTCAATTAAAAAAAAAAGATTTATTAATTTATTTGAATGAGTTACAGAGAGAAAAGGATAGGGAAACGGAAAGTGGGGAGAGGGGAGAGGGAGAAAGAGCAAGATCTTCCATCTGGTAGTTTAATCCCCCAGGTGGTTACAATAGCCTGGACTGAGCCAAGCCAAAGCCAGGAGCCAGGAGCTTCATCTAGGTCTCCCATTTTGGGTCATCTTCCACTGCTTTTCCCAAGCTACTAGCAGGGAGCTGGATTGGAAGTGGAGCAGCTGGAATATGAACTGGTGCCCATATGGGTTGCTGGTGTCACCAGCTACCAAAGAATGCCAGCACTGTACCTCAAATTTAATGTTCATCTGATTCTGATTAAGGTGTGTATTATTCTAGATATTCCACTTGAAATGTTAAGCATTTGATTCAGATATTCATTTAATAATGTGATTTGTTTACATACTTTCAGAAGACTTGGGATTTAAGACAGACCTTGATTTACATGTGAGGCTTTGGGCAAAGCACACTCTCTGGGCCTCATCTATATTATATCATAATAGTTCTCACTGCAAAGTTTAGTATTTGTTAATAGTATATATTTGTATAGTAGTATTTGTATAATATATAATAATATATGAATGCATACAATATATTATATTAGTATATTATTTAGTATATTAGTATATTTATTATAATGTAATACATATTATATTATAAAGTATATATTATAAAGTATAATATATTAATATAGCATAATAATATATTATTGTATAATAATATTTGTATAATAGTGTTTGTTAATAGTATATATGTTCCATTTTTGTTTATTTGTCAGATGTCCACACACATAAATATCATTGTCCAATGCACAATAGATATGCAGCATGGTGAAGGGGATAAATTTGGAGGGTCTGGTCCCAGATTCCTTGGGTTTTCAATCTTTCTTCTATGGTTGCTAGCCCTTTGAGTTGTGGCTGGTGCCACCAAGGACCTGAATTTTCCGTTTCATTTAATTTTAACCAATTTGAATGCAAATAGCTGCACATCAGGAGTGATGACTGTAGAGGACAGAGAAGCAAGTGCAGGATCTGTAGAAAAGGAGAGATATTATTGAAGGACATTTTCATTTTTGTATAAGATAGTAGAGATGTGTATGATTTTAAATGCCAGTGAGCCCTCGGTAGCAAAAACGAGCGCTTGATGGTGCAGAGGTGGAGCAGGGAGTGAGAAACAGAGCATCTTTGAGAGTGAGGGCAGTGCTGTGTGGGATCCCGTGCACTGTCCTTCCCCACAGAACAGAAGCCTGATCCTATGGAAGTGGCGAGGGAGAGTCATGGGTCTGAACTCCATTGGGTGTGTAGACTGATGGCAGAAAGTTGAGTGGGTTTCCAGCTGAAGGATTCCATCTTCTCCGCATGGCAGGAATCAAGGTCATTTACTGCAAGTGAGGGTAAGAATAGTATGTTACAGCTTTTGAGAGTTGAGGATTGAAAACAGGAAGCTGACTAAGGAAATATATGAAGTGTGTTGAGCAATTCTTATGTTGTAGACGGGGAAAACTGAGGCATGGGAGGTTGTACAATTTGCTAACTATCTCTCAAGTCCTGAGAGCCATCAGGCCTTGAGTCCTTGTAATTCTAGAGCCATGGATCTTAACACTGCTTCTCCATTGGCCCACTTGTGTCTTTTTCTTAGCACCTTTGTGTGCCTTCATTTTCTATCGTATTTGCTCATATAACGGATTTGTTTCTCTTAGGAAATTTGGCTGTTTTGTCCTAGTACTTCTGCAGTGTCTAGTATAATTCTGTGCACACAGAGGAGGCTTCGGTAATATTTGTTGAATGGGTGAATGGATGAATGAAGAAAGGAACGTTGCATGAAACATAGGACATGTCTCTTTCCCTTACCGAAGTTTCACCTTCATTCATATGCTTGATTGGTTCCATTTCTACTTCAGGTTTCTGGCTTAGAAATAATTGGAGCCTCTTCCCTCTATAATGATAGTTTGCAGAGAAATAACTTAAAATCAAGTGAAGTGACGCCATGTGAAAAAGAAAGGCTGCTATGTTTCAGAATTTTTTTTTGAAAAAAAAAAAAAAAACCACATTTATTTTATTGTATTTTCTATTTTTTCGAGTCCAGATGAGCCCTAAAAGCTGACACTTGGGAGGTTCTCTTTTCAACAATATAACTGACATCACAGGGTTCATGCCCTAATCTTTCATTCTCAAGGAAATAAACAAACATTTGGATTGGCCAGAGCCCTGACCTTGTGGATGACTAAGGCCCTCGGAGTTAAATTCTAACTAAGATTTTCCTCCTGGGACTTAAATTCTATCATTTTGTGCTATATTTACCAATGATGTTACACTTTATCTTTATCTTAGCAAATATTTAATTTGTTGAGAGAAAACATGTCATGAATGCATTACTCAGAAATTCTCGTCTTTCCCAAAGATTCCTGCAAGTGGCAGAAATGGAACTTCTGGAGTCCTATTAATACAGTTGAAACAAAGCCAAATGTCAACCTTTAATGAATTCAACAGAGAAGAGGTATGTGTAGTACTGAAACTGAAAGGCAAATACCAATCTTCCTTTTGCCATAGTTCTGTCTACCTTTCAAATAAAATGGGTTAGAAAAATTAGCATCTAACAATAAAAAATTGCACCATGTGCACTGAAAACATAGGGGAAGTCACCTTTTTTCCAATTTTTTCTTCTCTATTAAATAAAATTTATAATTTAAAATGGAGAAATCTAAGGATAGAGTGACATATTACATCATAATTCATGATGAATTTTTGTTCTAATGGCTAAGCTTTTGGACTGAAACTCCTTTGAGAAAGTAAAACATTTCTTGACATTGATGTTTTTGAGACGATTGAAACACACACTATGCTAGGAACCTGAAATAGGCTATTTAAAGAAGAGTTGTTATTGATAAGCATCCTTAAAAACTCATTATTTATATGACAAGAGGAGAACTGATCATACATACAGTTTGATTTCCCAAGTGATCTCATAAAGGATTTGAGCGAACTCTTAATTTTAAAAAATCCAAAGAAAATAAATTTTATCCAGATGTTGGGCTTGGAGATTCGTGTTGTATTACAAAGCTGACTATTGGTTTTTGGAAAAACTTACTGCCATATAGAAGTTGAAGCAAAGGTTGGACTGTTTCTTCATTCTTGTCACCTTTGCCACGCATGGCCTCTCACTGCTGCCTGCCACTCCTGAGTCTCCAGCATCTCTGTATTTGTCGACAACGCGCATGATTAAAACGATATTTTCATATTTCAGTGTAGTTGGAGCTCCTTAAAACAGAGAGTTCTAAGTGCAAAAAAGAGATAGGCAGTTCCCTAATGGCTTATTACCATCACATTTGCAATTCAGATCAGCTCTAAATTGACTGAAATTTTTAAACACATAGCAGGCAGTTTAAACTAATGATTGTCTGGAGGTTCACCACTGACATGAACTAAGCTTCTGTTCAAAACAAATTGCAAATAATTCCTCCCTTAGAGTCAAAATGTCACTTTTAAAACTCCATGTTATTGCTAGATTTTTGTCAGTTACAAACGAAAAAATGTATGCTTTCTAGTGAGTGTTCTACCTTTGAAAGGACTGACACCATTTTCTACTAAAACCACACACACACAACAACAACAACAACAACAACAACCACACATATTGACATATATGGATCTACATCAGTTTCGCTAGGAATCCCCCATCTTCCCTCTCTTCCCCTTCAAAAATCCTAATTGTAAAGTAAAACACCCTTGGGGCAGTGGTAGGCCCAAGTTGCTTAGCAACCCTCAGCAGGTAGCAAGGATTCAGCTGCAAGCTGTCCTCATTCTTTCCGAAGAACCTTCTTATTACTGTTTGTGTTAATCTTTAACCAGGCTTTTAAACCACAGTCTTTCTCTCAGGTCTCTTGTTGTTAGATTGCAGGGGCCTACTCAAATGTTGTCCCAGAGGTAATGGTATTAGGGGTGGCTATTGAATGTTTGAAGAGTGATAAGCACTGAAAGGGATTAGAATTGCATGTTCCAACTAACCTTATTTTATGTTCTTAAAAAATATCATGAAAATTGTACCCTAATAGGAACAATGGTTGGTGTTGACACACAGCGTTAAGCCTGCTTTTTGCTCCCAGCTTGTAAATTCGGAGAGGCTGCCTCCTTCACCAAAATTGTTCCTTTTAAAAGATCCACATTCTCCCACAAAGGCCACTTACGGAATGTATTCAGAATTGTCCACAGCCTTACACTGATTTCAGTCTGGCGATTTAATTATGGGGAGCCAGGTGTGGGTGGATAGAGCGCCACAGAGACAGATGAGAGTCTTATCTCCTTCCAAGAAGCCTTTCTGCCCCTCCTGGGAGCTTCTGGACGATTCAGGAATTCTGTGCTTGCACATGAAATTGACCAGTTCTTCAAGAACAAAAAAGCATTATGTGACCAAAAGGCACATTTAGTTTTCATAATGTGATTTTTTTTTCTGTGTTGTGAGGCTTTGATAAATTTCAGAGACCACCTGTAAGTGTTAACTAATGAAGGTAAGCTTATAACACATTTTATTTTATTTTATTATTTTTTTGACAGGCAGAGTTAGACAGGGAGAGAGAGAGACAGACAGACAGAAAGGTCTTTCTTCTGTTGGTTCACCTCCAAATGGCCACCACGGCCGGCGCTGTGCCGATCCGAAGCCAGGAGCCAGGTGCTTCTCCTGGTGTCCCATGCGGGTGCAGGGCCCAAGGACTTGGGCATCCTCCACTGCACTCCCGGGCCACAGCAGAGAGCTGGCCTGGAAGAGGAGCAACCGGGACAGAATCCAGCGCCCCGACCGGGACTAGAACCCGGTGTGCCGGTGCCGCAGGTGGAGGATTAGCCAAGTAGGCCGCGGCGCTGGCCCCTTTTTTGAAATTAATAGATATAGATATAACCTTCAAACTTTGGTTTAAAAACTCACAAAAATAAGACCCACGTTTGTCTTCTTATTTCTGAATTGCAATTGTTTACTTCTTTGTGTTCATACACAAAATTTTTAAATCTTGGCCGGCTCCGCGGTTCACTTGACTAATCCTCCGCCTGCGGCGCCGGCACTCTGGGTTCTAGTCCCGGTTGGGGCGCCGGGTTCTGTCCCAGTCGCTCCTCTTCCAGTCCAGCTCTCTGCTGTGGCCCCGGAAGGCAGTGGAGGATGGCCCAAGTGCTTGGGCCCTGCACCCACATGAGAGACCAGGAGGAAGCACGCGGCTCCTGGCTTCGGATTGGTGCAGTGTGCCAGCTGCAGCGCGCCGGCCGTAGTGGCCATTTGGGGGGGTGAACCTACAGAAGGAAGTCCTTTCTCTCTGTCTCTCTCTCTCAGTAACTCTGCCTGTAAAAAAAAAAATAAATCTTACGCGAAAACTCAAAAGCATAGTTTCATCTAAAAGTGGATTGTCCCGAGCATCAGCTCTCAACACGTTGGCTTGTTCATTTTAATTATCTGAACCCACCAAATATAAACAGAAGGAAATGTATATTGTATGTTCTTGATGGGGAAACTGAGGCACGAAGCTGGTTATCCAGGTTTTAGGCTTCCCTGAAATTCTCATCAGATAAACTTTGCCCAGTGTGAGGTGTCCACTGATGGTAGTGTTTCATTTGGAAGATGGGTTCATTTTTCTTTCCAGGAAGCCTTAGCCACACCATTTAAAAATGATAAACTATCTCCATAATTTTGATTTGTTTCTTATTTAAACTCCAACCTCTGTCTTTTATCTTTCTTTTGCCCTAAGATAAATTATTTTGTTACATGAGTGATTGCCCAAGTGGGTCAATTAAATTTTGAATACAGCTGGTGTTGATTATGTTTTTGCTAATGAAAGTATTTTTGTGGAATCTTCAAGGCAACGTGTACAAATTAGTTCCTTGATATGCCTGGAAAGTCAGAAAAAAAAAGTCTATCAATAAATATTTTTACTGATTCCCTCCAATCAATTACAACTGAGTTTTCCAGAGAGTAATTTGTCAAATGTTAGTACAGGAACATGGCAGCTTAGGAAACGGCAGTTTGATACAATGTGGGAGTGCTCTGTGTTGCAGAGCTCTCTTCATGGTGTTCGGGATTGGACTTTGTCTCTGCAGCTGGCGGGGAACATTGGCTCCCCACCCGTGATCAGCAGGTACTGTGTTCTTATTTCCCAATAGCTATCTCTGTCGACTCAGGGTGGGTAGCTTTTCTGGTCCTCAAGTCCAACTCTTCCTGCTCAATGGCTCTGCTGTTCCACTGCGTCCGTCTATGGCCTCAAAACCATCAATCTGCATGCTGGAACTGTAACAAGCCCCGAGCCCCGCGGGCTGACCCTGGTCTGCTGACCCATTGTGGACTACGTGGTTTCTGCTTTGGATCATTGCTTTAGGAATGGGACACATTATTTTTAATGTGTTTTCTGGCCCCTCAAATATACATCCTTCCCTCCTCCTTTTTTTTTTTTTTTTTTTCGAGTTTCTGAAACTAGGCATGAATAAAAGACCGTATGTTTTTGTGTTTACATTAACTGGGGAAAATTCTTAGACATATTTACTCCAGAATTTTTCAGCTTCAGCACTCTCAATATTTTGGGCATTACTGACATGTCGGGCCCAATAATTCTCTGTGAGGAAGACTGCCTTGTTCCTTGTGGGATGTTTGGTAGGATGCTGGCCTCTACTTGTCTCTTTGCAGTTGTGACAAAGAACAATGTCTTCAGACATAGCCAGATGTCTTTGTAGGGAATAAAATCATCTCTGGTTAGGAACTACTGATTTACTGCTGTGCTCAAAGACTGGCTTCAGCCGGTGTCGTGGCTCACTGGGCTAACCTCCACTTGTGGTGCCGGCACACCAGGTTCTAGACCCGGCTGGGGTGCCGGATTCTGTCCCAGTTGCTCCTCTTCCAGGCCAGCTCTCTGCTGTGGCCCGGGAAGGCAGTGGAGGATGGCCCAAGTTCTTGGGCCCTACACCAACATGGGAGACTAGGGGGAGGCACCTGGCTCTGGGCTTCGGATCGGCATAGCGCCGGCAGTGGCGGCCATTAGGGGAGTGAACCAAGGGAAGGAAGACCTTTCTCTCTGTCTCTCTCTCTCTCTCTCACTGTCTAACTCTGCCTGTCAAAAAAAAAAAAAAAAAAAAAAAAAGGACTGGTTTTGACCATTCACATCAGTATTGCCTGGACCTACCCCAGATCTACTGAATAGAAATTTGTGCTTTAACAAAATCCTTGGGTGACTTTATATGAACCTTTATGTATGAGAAGTGCTGGTTTAATTTATCATCTTGAATAGAAGCCTAGACATACTTATTTCTTAACCATAGATAGCACAGTTCTAAGGTTCCTCAGTCTGCAAGTTGATGTCTGCATTGGCAAATATGTCTTTGGAGCAAAGATGATTGAAATATTTAAGAAAAATTAAAGGGTATTGACTTTATTTAAAAATCCCCTGCCCCAAATAATTACCGTACTGTTTCAGAATGTGACTGATTTTGTGTCCTACAAATATAAATTAAAACCATTTTGGAAATAGTTTT